ATATATATATATATATATATAATCGACATGTATATGTCATATAAAAGAATCATTTAAAATACATGTGTAAGTGTCATTTAACATTACATGTGAAAAATATCATTAACGAAGTTAGAAAAAGAGTAAATGAATTCCCAGCATAATTAACGATCACCATTTTTTTTTCTCTTTTTTTAGGGTAAAAAAAACATTAATTCATTATTATCTGGAGTATTTTTTTTTTTTGTTGAATATTGATTTTCTTTGATGAATTTCACAGGTTGTTTTTGTACATGTCTAAGCTGTCTCAATTGCAAGATATTACACCCACATGCTCTACTTAAATGCTGAATGAGGAAGGCATGCATGTCAGCCACATGATTCTGTCTCTCCATATTCTGCTGTTGAGTATTTATTCTTTTTATTGATATTGAATGATTCAAATATATATATATATATATATATATATATCAAAACTTTTTCTTAGGGTATTCAAAACATTTATTTGTTCTTCAATTGGATCAAAACTTTTAGAGATTTGATAGTAGAAGTAATTATGTCATTAATATAAAAGGCTTTCACACTATTTTGACAAAAATTCAGAACTTATACTCTCTTCCTTATTCCTCTTCCTTCATAGGGTTGAATCATTTATTCTAATATATATATATTTTTAAAAAATTAAAATTTAAATTAGTGTAAACACCATACTATGTTTTAGGAAAATGACATTATCTAGGTTTTACGTCTGACCATTTTGGGTCCAAAACAGGCTTATAATCAACTTATGATTTGAGTTCACTTTAGCCCAATAAAGAGATATCGATTAAATGGGTATGTGATGAAACAGAGTCACGGTACCATCTGACTGTTAAATTATTATTATTATAATTATATTATAAAAGAAATGGGTATGGAATGGGGTTCATGAGAATTCTCATGCCTTTCTACAGAGTGGAATATCATCTCTTTTGCAGCTACATATGGTCAGGATATCGTATCATAAAAACCAATCCAACCTGTGAAAAAAATTAACAAAAAGCAGATATATGCAAAAGCTTCACATGAGCATTAAAGGCCAAACCTGCAGATTTCCAGTGCCACATGGTATACATACATATATGCCTTATACTACTACATTTCTTTACCATTGATATAATTAAGTAAGAAGTGCTACTAACACTCTCTATACTTTTTTTTTTTTCCTTTTTTTGTTATGTTTTATCCAATACAAGATTGGAATTAAACTCTTAGACCATTAAGTTCTTTTTGAAGAATAATAAAATGGGTCGAGAATCTTAACCAAATTTGGAAGAAACGAGGATGGTTCATATTGGGGAACTCCTGTTATAGAATTTAAAATTTTTTTTCAATAAAACAATAAAATTTTATTATATGAAGTATAAGAGATATTTCTATTATACTGTAAAACTTAAATGTTATCATTAAAAAAGACCTTAATTAACTGTACTTAATTATTGATGTAATGAAAGGACATCAAAATCCAAAATTTGATTTCCTAGTATTATTGTTGAAGAGGCAATGAAAAAAGCATTAAATTATGAGTTTTTGGACTCTCTCAATCTAAATATCTAATTATTAAAGTTATGCATATGAGGAAGTTCAAGCTGCACAATTTTTTTTAAAATTATATTTAGTATATTATCAATGTGATTATTATTATTACAAAAAATGTTAAGATCATTAATTTTTAAAAATTTTAAAATAATATTTAAAAATATTAATTTAATGATTAATTTTAATTAATTAATATTAATTATTTTGTTAATTATTAATTAATAATTATTACAATTATCATTTATTTTTATCAACCACAAATTAAACAAAATTATTATTTTTAAAATAATATTTACAATTTTTAATGACCAAGTGATCATAATATTAACCATAATGGTAGTACTTTTTGTTTTATATAAAACAATACAAATGATTGATCAACCCTTGGTTCAACCATAGTAGTAGTACTTTAATTTACAGATAACTTCTTAAACCACCGAAAACTAATGCTTCACCTCTACTTCAATTATTAACCAATAACCATAGCCACATAGTAGTTGACTTTTCTTTCTTTATGGCATACACAAACTCATAATCGCAAGAAAGGAAGTCAAACTTTAGATTTTTCAAGTTTCAACAGATCCAATAAATGTATGGTAGGCTGTGAATTTTCCTACATTTACTACCACTGACTTGCTAATAATTTCATTTTTTTCATAGCGTTTCTTTTTCCTTTTTGTGTCTTGCACATGCAACTTATGGAAGTGGGTTCAGGGAAAATACTACACGAATAACAGTTTCATTTAGTTGTCTCAGTAATACAAAATCAAGATTTTACAAAGGAACAAAGGTCGTTGAGACTCTTTTCTAAGTAGAACAGGACAGAAGCTTATTTAGTGGAAGACATCTGCACTCTGCCATAATACTGCAACAATAAATTTACAGTGTTCTACCACTAGTAAAGGGTGGAAGCTCTCCCCTTTAAGGTCACTGGTTTAACTTTTAAGGCCATTAGTTTAATTAAGCAAGACCTATAGCAAAAATAAACTAATTAAGATAAAGAGTCTCAAAAAGCCTTTAAACAAGAAACCCAATTCAGAGAAAATTAGCAGTTTCATCTAATGTTATATCACTAAGGTAATCCTTCCCTTGATTGGCACCATCATCAAAAAGCCATTTTTCAAGCAACGAGAGTTGTCCTTGTTGAATAGAAACTTTCTTGTCTTCATCTTGGAAGAGGGTGGCCTCGGGTGACATAGATTGGGAGAAATCAGAATTGGAGGAATCAAAAGATTCAAACAATGACTCAAATGTTTCAGTTAATTCAATGCTGAATCCCTCTGATTTGCTTTGCGTCCCTTCACTAGAGGCAGAATCAGCCCCAGCCACGTTGAGTGAGCACTGAGTGGCAGCAGAGTGTGCAGGAGCTGCTGGCTTTGGAGAATTTCTCATCCACCCCTTCAACAACTTAGCTATGTTCTCAGTGCTTGATATATAACTAGATGCATGCCCTGGTTTTGGACAGCCAAGGTAACAATTTGAGGGTTTCAGGTCAGACAAACGGCTTTCTTTTTCCGGGGACAAGGCATCACACAGAGCTTTCTTAGCCATTTGGATATCAGTTTGTAGCTTTCTCTCCCACTGGCCTCTAGAAATTGCCTGCTGTGAAGTAGATGATGATGACGACGAGTAACTATCTCTAGAGACACCATCAGAGGTGCCTGTTTGGAGCTTGCTGAGCTTCCTCCTCAAGTGGGTATTCCAGTAGTTTTTAATGTCATTATCTGTTCTCTGAGGAAGGTATGATGCTATAGCAGCCCATCTGCAACACATTAAATTTTCCCATTAGTTAAATAAACTTTAAACACCAATTCATGATTCATCCCTCTAAATAAGATCAAACAGTAATACTGTAGTTCTTCAAAATAAGAGAGAAAGAGATGACAGTTAAATACCTGTTGCCTAGAAGAGCTTGAAGGTGGATTATCATCTTCTCCTCATGTTCAGTAAAGTTCCCCCGTTTGATCCCTGGCCTCAAGTAATTAGTCCATCTAAGCCTGCAGCTCTTACTACATCTGAGCAACCCTGAAAAAACACCAAAGACAGAACAGGCAAATTCAGCACAATCAATTCATTGAACACTTGAAGGACTCTTTTTACAATCACCCACAAGACCAAATTTCGAACTCCTAATTTTCTTTCCCTAATGATCAACCAAACAAAAAAACAACACAATACCTACTAGCATAAGAAGAGCAGCTCAAAAATGGAAATCAAAGCCATGAGTCAAAGTACAAGGTCTAACCTGTATTGGTAGGCACTCCCCTCCAATTCCCAGGACCGTGCTCTTGAATGTAAGACACTAAAAGGATATCTTCCTCAGGAGTCCATGGTCCTTTCTTTACCCCAACTTTGTCACAACAAGGTGGTCTACCCATATCCCCTTGTTTTTTGAGTTTCTACCTTTTTTTTTTTTTCCCCTAAAAACCAAAGAGCATAATCTATGACCGTGCCCTTTTTCTTCTTAGGAAGAGCAAAGAGCCAAAGACAGGGGTCTAAGTGAAGACGTCTTCCTGTGTCTGCATATATAGAAAAAGACAAAGAGTCCTAAGGATGACCCAAAAGAAGTAGAAGCCAAAGAGTCAAAAGCAGACAGCAAAAGCATTAACTCCGACGGGAAGCCAAAGTCAGCCGAGCAATACCTCCTCTGCCACACAAAACGCGTGGCATTGAATGCGAGTTTTGCTACGGATGAACCCTAAAATAGTCTGCTTTAATCCTCTAAACACCAGGACTTGAATGAGTAATTACAACGGAGTTTTTACTCACAGCCCACCCTAGTAGTAGTAGTAAAAAGGGGACGGTTTGTCTATCCTGTGCTTATTATGAAATAATTATCAATTTTTTTTTTTTTAAGATATGAGATTTTAAATTAAAAAATAAATTTTGATTTTAATTTTAAAATGAATGAATAAAAAATTAATATATGACATTTATAATTAAAATAAAAATTAATTTTATTATTTTAAAATAAAAATATTATAATAAATATATAATTATTGTTTTTTATCTTGTATCCTTAGTTACAGGATAAATAAATCCAAAAGAGAAATTAAAAACAGGAGTAAATTCTTCTTTAAGGGAAAAAAAGAGTAAATTCATTGATGGGAAGCGATCAAAGTTGCTTACTTCAACCCTAAACTTTTTTTTTTTTTTAACAGAGTTTCAACCTTAAATATATATATTTTTTGAACATTGGAGAATTGATTTTGGGGAGGAAAAGTAAGTCCTGAATTAGACTCCAAGAAGTGATGTTCTAATCCACACATTCAAATGGGTGACATTAGGCCACCACGGACTGAACAGAGTTTCAACCTTAAACATTAGTTAACTATACATGCAATATTATCATGATAATGGTAGTTCTTATCTTATTAATTGTCGAGTAGAATAAAGAATTTTTTTCCTATTAAAAATAAATAAAATAGGGATTTAAAATTAAACCTTTAACTTTGACATGATGTTATGAAGAAGAATAGAGTTTTTTTATTTATTTATTTGTGATTTAGGAGTGTAATAAATATATAATTTTATAATTAATTGATATAAAAAATACATATAAAAGTTAATTTTTATTTTATTATCATTGTTATTTATATCATTTTAATTAGTCAATTAATTAAATTAATGTTAATATTTTTATTTTTATATTAATTAATTTGAAAAAGAAAGTATAAATTAAAAAAACCATAAAAATATTATAATAATGACTATTCAATGTCTACCATATTTGACCTTTTCTGTGTGGGCACTAGATTTGAATTATTAATTCGAGTATAATTGTAGTTAATTTTGAAATAGATAATGACATGTGATTTAAGGGTTAAACAAAGTTATCTAATTTTTTTTTAAAGTAATGATAGAGGATAAAATTTAGAATTAATAATGAAAATTTATGTTATATCATTAAATTAATTAATACATATAATATTACGAGTTTAAAAAAATAAAAGAGTTAGTCATTAAATAATATAAAATTTACTTTTTAATATTTTAAATGATAAATGATGTGATTTATATTACATCATTAATCTAGATTTTGGTACAAATTTTTTTTTTCCATCAAACATAAGTAAGTTTGTCTAATGTCCGGAGCAGACAAATTAATTAATTAATATGAAGTGCACACATTCAAACTTACTAACAAAATCTGCCAGAGGTATAGTAATACAAATGATTACTAAAGCCAAATACGTCTAGAAAGTAACATATTAAATTTGATTTGGTACGTAAATATCAATTTATAGGTGAGATTTAATGAATTAAAATTAGTCTTAAAATATACATAAATTGATTAAAAAACACACTAATAATCCAAAAAAAAAAAAACCCCTTCTAGAAGGTGCCTAAACATCTTCTCAATTATCGTATCAATAGCAAAGAGTGAAGTGCAAGGAAAAAAGGGGAGCATTCACACAATTGTTTTCTTAATTGCACATGGAATAAGAAAAGCAGGATAATTTACTAAATAAAAAATTGGTAATTGGGCCATCATTAATTATCGTCTATTAATAACGAAAATAAAAGCTTAAGAGGGAAGCTTGCTTTGCCTCTAATCCAAACCGGCTCTTTAATGACCTCTCTATATGGTCCCCTACCTGTAATTTTCATATCAAAAACATTATCAATCCATCAAGAAAGGGATATAAATTTATGCAATTAGTCAATACGTATACAAGGACCAGCCAAGTTTGATCTATAATATCTATATAGCAGACCCCCAAAAAAAAAAAAAAATGTGATGATTTCAAGCCAAGAGAAAACCTCTAATCTTTTTCTGAACTGGGCAATTGACGAATGAACGGGGGGTAGTGCCCAGACTTGGTGCCATCACTTTCTTTTTCACAGAGAAGCATATAGCCAAAGGGGCACACAGGTTTATATTAGCAATTCTATAAAATTGAAAAAGAAATGATGATGTTATATTTTGAATTATAATTTTTTTATCTGTGTTTTAAATTAATATATTTTTTAATAGTATTTAATTTATAAAAAAATAAAAAAATAATATTAATTTTATTATGAATATAATCTGAATGTTTTTTATTAAATAATTTATAAATTAAAAATTAATTTTTAATTTAAATTAATTATTAAAAAATTATATTAATTATGTTCCTAATCTATACTTCGTTTGAAAACCCTTTTGATTTTTTTTTTTTTGTTTGATAGGAATAATAATTAGAAGTTAGAAGTTAAAAATTAAGTTAATACCTTATTCTTGATAAAGTTTGACCACTAATTAAGGATGTAATTCACCGATAATCCTATTGAACTGTAGTGGCCACTAATAAGCCACAACAGGCGAATGCAAAAACCCCTTTGATTTAATTGCATGTTGGCAACTTGCCATAATGCCGCCGGTCGGATGCCGGAATGGATCTGCCTACTATTGTCAGACAATCATTTTCATTATTTTGACTCTGCCCATCAATCCAGTTACGTTACACCTTTAGTCTTCGTGTATTAGGTAAAATCATAGAAAACGAAGAAAACAGGAAAACAAATAAATACAAATCTTAATGCCCGAGTAAAGTGTTGGTAATTAAAGTTCTTTTGAACCTAATAAGGACATGGTACGAGCCTATGGGATAGATCCTCCTCAAGTAAAGTGTTGGTAAAATTCTTTGATAATGACATTAAGATTTTTATCATTACAAATCTAAAATTGATTTATATTTTAATTATTAGTTATTATTCATTGTTTAAAAATTATTTGTTTGTCAGGCACCAAATGGCTTATTTGTCATTCTCGTAAATGATAGTGTCTGAACATTTAAGTCTTGAATTTTAATTCAGTTAACTATCTTTTTTTTTTAATTTTCTCATGTAAAAAAAAAAAAAGCATTAGTTGTTTATGTTATGTTATAATTGTATTTATTTTACAATTTAGATTATATTAAATTATAAAATATAAATTAATTTTAAAAAATTTATTTTTTTAAATAAAAAAAATATGGTACTTATTCTCTGGGGAGTTCTTCCGTCATTCAACATGTCACCCCATAGCATGTTACATGTGGCATTTAATAGGGAGAGGAATGACAATTATTGGATATATATATATATATTTATTTTCTTTCCATATATTTTGTAAATTTTTTTATTTCTTTTTAGTGGGTGCTTTTAATTAATTAGTAGGTCCATTAAGAAAAAGAAATCCGAAAGGCTAATGTGTCAATTAAGTTCAAGTCTTGGTAGCTGCTGTTGCATGTGATTGATCATTCTGTGATTCATATAAACAAACTTTCGGTATGAAAATTAAAATATTTGGTGACAGGTCACTTGCATGAATCATATCCAATCATGCCAGTATGGCAATAAAATGTGATTAGTGGTCTTCCGTTCTATCTACCACTATTTATATCTTTTTAATCATTGATATTGCTCATCCAATGAATCGAGTTCTTCACAATTAATACAAATCCAAGATTTTTTTTTTTTATTTTTTTGGGAGATGGGGATGTGACTTTTCAAATCCATTAGTATAAAATTTTTTATGAAAATAATTTAAGTATCATTAATAAATTAACATATATAAGTGATTTATTATATATATTTGAATACAGATCGATCTGAAAAACATTTTTCTTATTTAAAGAATATGAATTGTCTTTAGAGGCCGTTGTTTTACATGTTCTAATTATCCAAACCATACATGAGAATAGGAGATTAGAGTCCGGTAAAGCAATGGTTCCTTGCCCATAATAAGTTAATAACAAAAAAAAAAAAAAAAAAAAAAAACACCAAGTTCTAATTAGAACATTTCGTTAATAGTTTTATTCCGGCCCAAAATTGGACTGCGTTAAAACGGCCCAATTCCATGGACTGGGCTTGTTTTAACCATTGGTTACTGATTCAAGAATGGGCTACTAAAGTTCTAATGCTTCTTAGGGGGGGAGTTGAGACGTTTATATGCCATTTTGTTGGACTCAATGAAGCCCATAATCTCAAGAAGACGGGTGAGAGAGAGACTGAGAGGCCTATACTGAGATGGGCTCTGAGACTTTCCATTAGACATTGGCCCATATATAGAAATTGGTCACATGGGCCTTTACATCCTACATCTGTAGTCTGCACTGTGAGCATGAGCAAGGTAACAACAACCTTATATTGTTTCTTTCTTTTTGCATTTGGGATAAAACAAACACTACTGTTTGTTCTCATTCATGGGTCAACATTTTTTATTTTGTTTAAAATCTAGTTGATCGAAGGAAAACCACTCATATTGCATTATTGCTAGTAGAGAATTGACCCATTGATGCTTCTTGATTTTTCCTAAATGATGTCAATATCTAAACATTTGACTCAATTAATCACTAAGTGACTGCAAATCATATCGTTTGCTTATAATCTTCACCTAATTAAAGATCGTTTGGTCCTAGCATTGAAGCTTCTTGATGATGATGCCTTAATATTTAGAGTATGTGGGAAATCAAAATGTTTTGGTATTAAAATTGTTAAAATTTTCAATTATAACTATCATTTAAATGAGGTACAACAGTAGTTTAAATATCATTTAAAGTGAAATCTCACTTTAAATAATGATTATAATTAAATATTTTAATAATTTTAATGTTAAGATATTTTAATTTTAATTTATTTTAATATTTATATCGATAAAAACAAAAGAGAGACTAACTTATGATATGGACTTCAAATGGAAGATTCAACTATTCATTTCAAACCTCCTTTTTTTTTTTTTATCCAAAAGTACCAAGTAAAAGTAAAGGAGAAAATGGGTTTTCCTCCACCATTTTTTCTTCCTTCTATAACACTGCATGATTTTCTGTCATTTTTGCGTGTTGAAACTAGAAAACTTGCCTCCTAGTCCGACCGACATACCACGGATTTAGGTTTTTAGAATACCCCCTTTTCAATTACATATTTTATAATTATTAATAAAGTATAAAATGTTTAACTATAAAATATTTTTTATTAATACCTTTAAAAAATATAATTTGTACAAGATAAACTATTATCTCTTAAGTTTTCAATATTGTGACAAATAATTAAATTAATTAATTTAAAAAATCAATTTAATATCATCAATTAACATGCAAAACAAAAATGTATAAAGCAGAATTAGGCGACATCCCCACTCCCCACTAATTAGATAAACCTTACTAAAAATATGAATCTCATTAGGACAAGAAAGTATGCCTCATGCATTAACCTCTCAATCACTTGTACTTCTTCATCATTGTTACCATTCTAATTCAGAAACTTCATAAATAATGGGGCCCTAGGGTCTGCTCTGCTTCAATCCCCTTATTCCTCCCACAAATTCTGCTGGAAAAATGACATTCTTTTGTTTGCATGTAATTAGTTTACTAATTCAATTACTTTCTTCAAATTAAAACTTCATCTTTGGAATTACATTTTAGCTATATATGATTTTTCCAAATTTATAAAAACCATGGTGCCTTTCCAAGTCAATCTGCATGAAAAATGACTCGAATGCTTCGCGCAAGAAAACATATTAGCTGTAGAAAGCCAGGATATATAGAATTAGGTTTTCTAGCAATAACATGATCTTAGTGTGAGTGTGTTAATTGACCAAAAACTAAGGTTGATCTAAGGATTGAAATTCGATATTTATAACTATTTGGATTAGTTATTAGATGTAATTGATAGTTAATAATTAATATTTGACAGTTTAATAATTATTATTTTTATAATTTAAAAATATTTAATTTATTTAATTAAAATTAACAATTGATAATTACATTTGAAAATATCTCATTTTTTCATTGATTTATAGGTTGATTGGGGGATGACCTGGAGTTTGGAGTTTAACAATCTAACAAAAAGATTCCACGTTAAGAAAGGTTATTGTCGCCAAGATGCTTCTAGGAGGAGGATTTATTTCCTATTCGGAGAACAAACTAAGAAATTCGGGCAAAGGGTTCCATGTTTTTGTAATTTTCTCTTATCTGCTTCGATCATTCCAATTGAGTTGGGTGAGATGTAGAACGTTTCCCCTTATAGATAGCTGCATTATTTAATTTAATTCTCAAATTAAAAGGTCTTCTAAATACGAAAATTTTATTTTGCTTCTTGCACTCTACCATAAGGGGAAAAAAAAAAGGCAATAAATGGTTTGCTGATATATTATTTTTTCATACATATATATATTTTTAGTTTTTTTTTTCTGGTAAATACATATTTTCTTGATATATTCAAGATTCAAGAATGCAATACTTTCCCCCTATATATCAATGGTTTGTCGTTTGCCTACTAAAGCTGGATTTGCTCCAAATCGTCAATGATTCTCATGGAGATGAGGAGATTTTTTCATCATGTGACCAGTACCAACATAACAAACACACATGGTACTCGAGGTATATTCATCTTAATGGACAAAAGTTTAAGACATAATTATAAAACTTAATGGACAAATGTTTTAAGACATAATTATAAATTTTAAACTTGAATGTTGCAATGAATAAAAAAAATATTCTTTTTATACGACACATTCATCATACATATCAAAAGCAGTTGAAATATTGTCTCAAATTAGACTCTTATCCCCAAACACATTACTCAACAAGAAAGTTTTGGAAATTTCTAAGTATACCAATTATTTAGTACTCCTATTTCAAATCATGAATTTAATTTTAGTAAGTTAGGATTGTTTTAGTTTTAGGATTGTTTATAATAGCACCACGACGTGCAAAAATTATCTCCAAACTAATTAAGAATATGGTCTAGCTGACCAAGGCATTTTTTTACTTGTAGAATATAATAAAGGAAAAGGACCTAATTAAAAGCGTAAACTTTCAATTTAACCCAATTGTCTCTGTTCTCTCCTACTCAGAGCACACAAAATACAGGGCAAAACACAGACCCCTCACCTGATGGAAAATCTTCTCAACATCCATCCCATAACGGTCCTCAGAATTCCCTGCCTCTAAAGCAAGCTCAAACCCCCAGTAGCTGAAATGTTCTTTTCTCCTCCTTATTTTCATTTTTGTTAACCCTCAAAATCTACCTTGATTAGGTCGGATTTCAACTTCCCTTGATCCAAGTTCTCATGCAAATCCTTGAATTTTAACATGGGTTCAGTGCCTTTTTTTTACAGATGAATGGTCCATTCTTAGATTCGCAAAAATTCAAACTTGGATATCAGTGGTCTTATGAACTGCTCTGTTTCTTGCTTCAAATTGAAAAAATAGAGAGACTTTATGGAGTATATTGATGGGTACCCAGATGGAGTTTCTGCCCTGTATCCCTCTCAGTTTCGTGGAAAAGGGTTCTGTTAATGGTTTTTGTATCAAAATATGTTCCTTTCTGGTGGGCCTTTCTGGGTCTCTGTCTCTGCCCTGTTGTTTACTTTCGCCGGTTTCTTCACCAGAATCCTCTCCAGGTACCCAAATTATGTCTTTTGTTTAATTTCTGCCTCAAAACTTAGGATTTTATCGGATTGTTTGACTCATTCTTCTTTTCTGTTGCAGAATTCGGAAGAATACAATTTCTCAAACGAAAAAGTCTAATTTTCCCTCTGTTCCGCTGCTAGAAAACAACCGATATTTTTCGGATAGTTTTGAGGCGGAGGAATGGAAAAAGGAGAAAAAATTTGATGCTGATGAAGTTCAGGACAGCAAGGGAAACATGCCTGAAGAAGAGTCACCGAAGTTCTGTTTCAAATTTGAGTTTCAGACGGATACCTTTGAGAAGTTCAGTAAGAGTTACAGGGGAGCTACAGAGGATGTTACTTTGGACGCTGTTCCTTCTTCGAGCACTAGCAAGTATGAGTTCGTGTGTGCGAAGGATTGCAGTTGCTTCATGGAGACACCAGAGGAGGTGAGCTTTAGTGTCAGAGAATTTTATGCTGATTCCGACAAAGACTGTATTTCCTTTTGCAATAAAGTGGAATCCAAGAACGGGGTTTTGTCTGGAATTGATTCAACCCATCAAAATTCCATGGAAAAAGTTGTTGTTGAGGAAACAGTAGAGAATTCCACCGACGATGTTCGTGGAAAACAGGTTCTGGATGAAACTGTTTATGAAGAAGAAGATGAGGTCGGAAATTTTCGGTTTCCTTTGGAAAAGGACTTCATTGTTGTTGATTCTGATTTAGATTCAATTGCCTCAAGCCATATCAGTGATGAAATTTTATCAGATAGAGACTTTGAAGAAGCTTTCGAGCTTGACCTTTCAAGGGACATTGATGAGAAGAAGAAATTAATGGGGGATGTCAGTACTAAGCGTGAAGCCGATGATTTTGACAATGAAGACAGAGATATAATGGAAGAGCTCAGAAAATTAGAAGAGTCAAACTCTCATTCTCATCCACAGAATGAAAATTCCAATAATGAAGGCAATGGAAGTAACAATGAACCCACAATTACGTCAGACGGTTCATTTAGTTCAGATTCTGAGGGACTTGAAACCTTGTGGGAGCATCAGGACTTCATAGAACAACTGAAAATGGAGCTGAAGAAGGTTAGAGCCTCAGGTCTGCCTACTATCTTGGAAGAATCAGAATGTCCAAAGATAATGGAAGATTTGAAGCCTTGGAAGATTGAAGAGAAGTTCCAGCAAGTAGGCAAAATGAGTGAGCTTCACAAATTCTACAAGAGCTACAGAGAAAGAATGCGGAAATTCGACATCTTGAACTACCAGAAGATGTATGCAATAGGTCAGTTTCTACCTCCTAAACCTTCATTTCATAAAGTTTTAGTTTGCATTCATTTTGCTGTTGTTTGGGGTGATCCTTGTCATAATCATAATTAGACCTGTAAGGTAATCAAAAGCTGGTAAGTTAATGGATAAAAGAAAAGTACAGCAACAAGCCATTCCCAGCGTTTTAATTATGTCGTGTGCAAACAAGGCACTTTAATTGCCAAAAGACAGGTTGGAAAAGCATGAAGATGAACAATAATCCAGTTTCGCCCTTTTGAAATCAATGTGTCTTTGCTTATATCTGCTTTTTATATGCTTTTTTAAGATTGTAGGATAAGTTTCACATAAAGTAATCTCTCCCCATATTTCATCACAATTGATAGGCTTTTTTCAGTCCAAGGACCCACTTCGGTCCTTTTCAACCCACATTTCCTCCTCAGTTCCGGGGATCACATCCCTTCTCCCACAGAATCTATGGTTAGGCAAGAGCAAGAAATCCGAGTTGGATCCAATGGTGAAGTTCATGAGAGAGTTGCATACGGATTTGGAAGCGGTCTATGTTGGGCAGTTGTGTCTTTCCTGGGAAATTCTCCACTGGCAATATGAAAAGGCCCTTGAGCTATGGGAATCTGATACGTATAGGATACATAGATACAATGAAGTCGCGGGGGAATTTCAACAGTTTCAAGTACTAATGCAAAGATTTATAGAGAATGAGCCTTTTGAAGGGCCTAGAGTTCAGAATTATGTCAAGAAACGATGTGTTCTTCGTAATCTCCTCCAAGTTCCAGTTATAAGAGGTAACTAGAACTTGATCTGTCTGTAATGGCCAATGAAGTGAATAAGCCTGTATGCTAATAAAAGCTTGATTTTGCTGCAGAAGATAAAGAGAAGACAAGTAGGACAGGTAAAGAAGCTTATGCCATTACAAGTGATATGCTAGTGGAGATCATGGAAGAATCAATAAGGATATTTTGGCGATTTGTTCGAGCTGATAAAGATGCAAATGTTTTATTCCAGAACAGTCGAAAAGGAACTCAGGCCGAACCCCTAGAGCCTAAAGATCACGAGATTTTATTAGAAGTCCAAACAAGTCTTCTAAAGGTTAGTACTCTCTTGTTACAGGTTAATACTATTCTTAGACCGTCACCCAACTTATGAAACCATACTCAAATTTCTTAGTTCTTCTATGGATGCAGAAGGATAAGAAGCTGAAAGAGCTATTAAGAAGTGAAAATTGCATATTACGCAAACTCCAGAAGCATAAAGAGGAGAATGCGGACCAAGTCCTCTACTTCTTCTCTCAGGTGGATATGAAATTGGTGGCGAGGGTTTTGAACATGTCCAAAGTAACAACAGATCAGCTGCTATGGTGTCGTAGTAAATTGAGCAGGATCAATTTTGTTAACAGGAAAATACATGTAGAACCAACATTTTTGCCTTTCCCTTGCTGATAGATAGTACATAGCTTTCTCACTGTATATTGTCCCTTCTGCCAGCCATATTACAATCAAAATTTTGGTAGAAGTAGAACATACAATTTCACCCCTTTTTTTGGGTCTATAGAAGATCACAAAAAGGTGTAGTTGTGAATTATTAGTCTCGGTATGAATGACCTGTACATAATCATATTAGAGAGGTCAACTTAAATCCAGTGGGAAGTTTTAGATATCTAAATCATATCTCTTCTTTATCCTTCCTTCGTTTCCTCTGTTTTTTTTTGGCCATTTAATCAGAAATACAAATGCAGAAAAAAAATGGGAAACGTTCTTTTTCTTTTGGTCATGTCTCATGCGCTCATTGTGCAATAGCCTGAAATGGATTTTGTCTTGCTTAATTCTTTTAAAAGACAAGGGTGCTTTCATTAAAAGGAAAAGGAAAAGGGTTCAAATGAACAGTTCAAAATTACAAAGTTAAAAGGTGAAATTTCTTCTTTTGAGAATTGAACGTAAATGACCGCTTCCGACATAAATTCCGGGTCTTTTTGACATTTCACAGAAATTAGAGATACTTCTTTTAATCACAGCCGTTGAGAAAATATAAACAAAACATCAGCCGCCGGATCTAGGGCTTTCATCCTTCTCCAGCGTTTTTTTTTTTTTGTTTTTCTCCGCCACCGGAGGTTTGTTCTCGCTCTGTCGCTCTCGCCTGCACTCAGACAGAGGAAAGAAGAGCCGCAAAAGGAACAAAAATGGTTCAACGACTGACTTACCGTACACGGCACAGCTATGCCACCAAATCCAACCAGCACCGCGTCGTCAAGACTCCCGGTATGTATATACACTTCCTGGACTTAACCAAACGGAATTGTACACAGGGGGAATGTTATGATTTTGAATTTTCCGATTTTGGGTTGTTGATGAATTCTGATAGAAGTGATAATGAGTGGTTTTTGTTTGTAATGGGGGATGATTTGCAGGTGGGAAGTTGGTGTATCAGAGCACCAAGAAGAGGGCAAGTGGGCCCAAGTGCCCTGTTACTGGAAAGAGGATCCAAGGGGTATGTTTTTGCTTCCTTGATGTGTCTTGATTGATCAATGCTTCATTGCATTTGGAAAAGTTTTCAGCTTGTAGTCATCTTTAGAACTTGCAGCTGACTATTATAATTGTGGGTACGCCTATTTGCTTTTGTAGGATTTGTTGGTTACTGTTACTCTGTCTTCATGTTTTTAGTTCAGTTTGCTTTTGTGGATTCCTTTAGATTCCTTGAATTGGTGGTAGTGTTATTGAGGGTCTAATAATGGATTAATTAGGAAGTTGGGATTCTTGTGAATTTGATTTGGAGGATAGTTTTGTTCTTTGTTCCAATTTCTAACAAAGGCTTTAGTTTCTTATTTCTGTAGACTTGGCTCCTCTTTAGATCTGCCATTAACAAATACTTCAAAAAAAAGTAAAAATCTGAAATATAAAATGATTCTTAATTAGCTCCATTATTCCTGCTACATTTGTCCATGTTTTACATGTTTTTATTTTTATTTTTTCTTTTTACTGCCTAGCTGAACAAGGGGAGCCTTGATTCTTATTGTTTCATCATTGCTGAACAAGGGCGCTAAGTTGTGCTCCATCATTTAATATTTTGATTTTGGCTGTTCGTTCTCTCTTTTTCCTGTCTTCCCTTCATTTTTCCTGCTACCTATTGCATTTTAGCGTTGTCCGTGAATTTTCTTGTCTTGTGAGTCTCGCTTATATCTCTGCATTGGCTAGATTAGCCTATTCACTTCAGGACTGCAGATTGTGAACCTAATATGCATTTTAAACCGATCATTAACACTGGCTTTATCTGTGATAATTATAATCCTGAATTTATATTGCTTGCTTGCAGATTCCTCACTTGAGACCTGCTGAATACAAGCGGTCTAGATTGTCTAGAAACCGTAGAACTGTGAACCGTGCATATGGAGGTGTATTGTCTGGAGGTGCAGTTAGGGAGAGGTATGATATGGAAAGCTAGCTGGATTTAGTTTTTGCTTTTTCTTCTTTGCACCTTAAATTGGTTTTAACCTTGCTGGCTAGTTGCAACCATGTTCTGTTAATTTGATTGTCAATGATGCTATGCTATTGTCAATCCACTTTGGTGCAAGTTGTTGAACCAATTTTGATTTCTTTCTCCTTTTATTACCCTTCTATATAGGATAATTCGAGCATTCCTGGTTGAAGAGCAAAAGATTGTGAAGAAGGTTCTTAAGATCCAGAAGGCAAAAGAAAAGCAAGCTGGAAAGAGCTAGGAAATTGGATTTCCATGACATTTACTCTCATTCGGATAACTAGATTTTGTTTGAGGGAAATTTTGGTGAGATTATGACAAAGATCAAATGTGGGACCAAATTTCAACCTTTCTATTTTACTTTGTTTGATTCTGATAGTTGAGTACTTCCCTTTTCACTTTGAAGAAAGAACAATTGCTAGTATTTTGTTTTTCTGATAGCTTATGAATATTTTTGTGTATCATCCAGCTATTTCCTTGTTTTTCCTCCCCATGATCCATCATCATGGAGAAGAATAATGGGTATTGTACCTTTCTACACCGCTCAGTAACATAGTTATCAAAATGGAAGTAGAATTGATATCTTATATCTACGGATTTCAAATTGGGGTTAAATTTAATAAATAATCTATTAATTATGAGGTTTATTTTAGTTTAGTTTAGAAATAATTTTTTTTTTCAAAATGATTTATAAATTATTAATTTTGTTTCAAAATGATTACTTGACAAACATTCCGCAGTTAATAGAGTGTTTTTTGGCTATTGACATGTGTTTCTTAAATTTTTGAAAAATTTTAAATATAGTGTGTATATATATATATATTTGTTTTTTACAACATTTTATTTTTGAAATTTAAATTTCATATTAAATATAATAATTAATTAAGATAATAATTTTAATTTACATTGATTAAGATTCTAATTTTAATTTACAATAATCAATATTATAATTTAAATTTTATTGTTTTTTTAAAAATTGAATACCATTATTAAATTATATATTTTTTCATTAATTTG